CCAAGGAAGGGTCGCTATGGGTCGGGTCCGACTCCACCGCACATAAAAACAACAAAGACAGGCCGCTAGACCCTTCCGGTGGCAGACGCTCAGGACCTGGGACCCCGTTCCCCCTTCTTACCCAGCGGCTCATTCTCCTCGACAGCCCGGGACACTGGGCCCCCTCCCACCGGAAACCCTGCAGCCCAGGCCCCAGTCTCCGCCTCCCGAGGCCCCGGGAGTTCCGACCCTCCAGCCACGCCCCCCGAGGACCCCGGCCCTGCCTTCCTACCGGCTGCGGCAGTGGGCTGCAGACAGCACCCACTGTGGGGAGATGAGGGACGCGCCGCAGTTGAAGCGCCCTCTCTCGAAGAGGGCCACCTGCCACGGCTGCGAGTGGGGCGCGCACTCCTCACCTTTCAGGACCTTGTCACCATCCTGCGCCCCTGGGGGAGAAGGCAGAGAGCATCTCTGGGGACAGGGGCCTTTTCCGCACGCCCTACCCTGTCCCCGTGCCCCAGCCTGGGAGACAGAGGAAGGGGAAAGGATCAAGGTCAAGACGTCCTCTGTGACTGGGGATGGAGACAAGGACACTGGACACAGGGTCAGACAAATGGTCCATGGGCAGCGGTCATTCAAGGTCATTCAAGGTCACTGACCTGTCACCAGCATCAAGATTTTGACCCCAGATTCCGGACATCTCAGCCAACGTCAGTGTGCTGGACACAGATGTAGCCACACAAGGTCATGGTCGCACACACACATATGCAGCCAGGCTGTCAAGCGGAGGCACATGTGTGGCCAGTGCACTTTAAGTGGAATTGGCTTGCATGTATATAGACTGCGTCTTCAGGAATCACTGCTCCTGTTCATGTGTGTATGGGGATTTGGACACGGAAGGCATGGGCGCACGTACACACACACACACATTCGCAGACTGGGACACAGAAGCTCAGACCCAGCGTTCACAGTCTCCAGTGTGGATGTGGACATCTCGGGTCCCACACAAACACAGGATCTGGACATACAGGATGGGGTCTTTAATAGGGAAAAACACAAAAAAGAAACAGCAATATGCACTCAGGTCTCCAAAGACGTTCACAGACTGTGAAGGTCTGTAAAACCCACCCACAGCTGTCAGGTCGACTCCGACTCCTAACAACCCTGTCAGACAAGAGCAGAACTGTCCCCACAGGATTTTCTCAGCTGTAATCTTTACAGGAGCACATCATTGGGTCTTTCTAACT